ATTCAGTTATCATCCTGTTACGAAAAAAGTGACCATTAAGACCGACGAAAACTGCAAAGTCATTCTTCACGAAGGATTAGCGGAGCTTCTAGGGTTCGAGCCGGGTGTTTACAAAGGATTGGAACAAAGTCCTTTTGTAGCCGATCCCAAAGTATCTTTTCCTGTCATGTATGTGTATTGCGATCTCGTAGAACCTCAAATTGTGGGAGATGTACAAGCCCCGTTGTTAAAAATTGTCACCGTAGAAGGAAATGACGGAGACATCATAAACGCTCATTACCCCGGAGGCCCTTTTACTTGCCAGTTATCCGTCAACATTTTCAGACTATACATATTGACATAAGACTTCACTCTGGAGATTTAGTACCATTCGAAAGAGGCAAAGTATTTCTTGTGTTGCATTTTCGTCTGAGACAAATTCTATAAAAGAAGCCTTCATCTGCAAATTGATTTCATTTGGATTGTGTATGCAAGATTAGAAGCATCAAATATGCGGTGCCTTATACGTGTTGTACGAAAAAAATTTGAAGATTATTATTTAGCTCAAACTGGAAATGGATTACCTTACTATCAAGGAACCATTTTACAGAAAGGTTATGGTATTGGTGGATTTTTTGCAAAGCTGTTTCGCAGTGCTATGCCGTTTTTGATGAGTGGAGCCAAAACAGTCGGAAAAGAAGCTTTGCGGACTGGAACACAAATTGCAAACGACGTATTGTCGGGAGAAAATTTTAAAGTCTCCCTCAAAACCAGATCTAAAGAAGCTGGCAAAAAATTAGCGAGGAAAGCAGTTCAGAAAGCAGACGAGATGATTGGTCACGGAAGGTTTAAAAGGAAGCGCAAAACCCCCAAACACTTCATTTCGTCTAAAGCCAGGAAGGTGCAACGACGTGATATTTTTGACTCGTAATGGCTTTTCTGTTAAAAGATTCTCCGGAATGCGCAAAATCCGAATTGGATTTATTTTCGTTACCTCCCACACAAACAGTTATCGAAAAAGGTCAGTGGGTTGAATTTCATCCATTAGCCAATGTATCGGAAGGAAGTCCTGTCGAGTTCAATGTTTCTGGAAGCGGAGACGACTACCTAGACTTATCACAGACACAACTCTACGTCAAAGTGAAAATTTTAAAAAATGATGGCAAGCCAATCACGGCTGAAAGTAAAGTGGGACCTGTCAATCTCTTTTTACATTCTATGTTTTCTCAAGTGGATATTAGCTTAAATGAAAGACTCGTTTCCACCAGTAATAACACGTATCCTTACAGAGCCATGATAGAAAAATTATTGAATCATGGTTTTGATACGAAAACGTCTCAACTGTCATCAGAATTGTTTTTCAAAGATACAGCAGGACGTATGAACGTTTTTGATATTCAAGACACTCAGCCGAATGAAGGATTCAACCAACGAGCAGAATTGTTTAAACTGAGTGCTTCGGTCGATATGATTGGCCGATTGCACTTGGATATGTTTCATCAGGAAAGACTTTTGCTGAATATGGTGGATATGAAAATTAAACTCATACGCAGCAAACCAGAATTTTGTTTATTGGGCGAAGGTGAATTTAAAGTTTTACTCGAACAAGCTTCATTGTTTGTAAGAAAAGTGAGAGTTAGCCCTGGTGTTGTGCTAGGACATGCCAAAAGCCTAGAAAAATCAACAGCCAAATATCCCATTAATAGAGTGCTCTGCAAAGCCTATTCCATTCCCACTGGAAATATGAGTTTTATTCAAGACAATATTTTCATAGGTCAAATGCCTAATCGTATTGTGGTGGCATGCGTCGACAATGATGCCTTTAACGGAAACTATAAAAAGTCTCCTTTCGAATTCAAGCATTATAATATGAACTTTATCGGTGTTTATGTGGACGGTCAACCGGTACCTCATAATCCTCTTCAGCCTAATTTTGACAAAAATCATTTCATACGAGCTTATCAGAATTTATTTATGAATGCAGACGACAGAGGACTTTACCTTTCAAGATCAGAATTTTCAAAAGGATATTCCTTATTTCGCTTCGACCTGTCACCTGACCTTTGTGATGGCTCTCATTTAAATCTAGTTCGACACAGCAACTTAAGATTAGAAATAAAATTTGGGACTCCCTTACAACAAACTGTTTCGTTATTAGTGTACGCTGAATTTGAAAATTTGATAGAAATCAATAAAGCTCGAAATATTCTGTACGATTTTGGAAACTGATGAATTCATCACAGATTCATCAAATCTTATCTCGAGATCCTATTTCTTCGAGATATTATGCGGGTGTTTTTGCTTGTGATAAAATACCTGCGATTCAAAGTTTTCCCTGTGCACTGGTGCTCAATACGGACAAACATGATGAAAAAGGAACTCATTGGCTAGCTGTCTACCTTGCAGATCAACAGACTCTGGAATTTTTCGACTCTTATGGACTCCCGCCTGAAGTATATGGAAAAGATATCACATCCTTTGTCAAGAAATATCGTCATGTTTGCTGGAACAAGATTTCGCTTCAGAGTTTAACTTCTAATGTATGTGGACATTATTGTATTTATTTTCATTATTAAACGCTGTCAAGGACTCTGTATGGAACTCATTGTATCACCCTTAGATGGGAAGAATCATGATTTCCAAATATTTCAATTTGTCAAAAAAAGATATGGTGTAAACATGATTTTTAAAAAATAAAGTTGTTTTAATTTGTAAAAATGTCTCTTGTGTTTCTTGTTTCTACACTTATTTAAACAAAATGAATAAATGTCTTATGCAAAAGGATTTTCGATTAGTATAAAAGTGAGTGTTTTCTTAACATGCTGTCATTTCCAAAAATGGAACTGCCCAAGTTCGTACATCCTTCTACTTGTCTTCTGAGCGGACCTACCGGTTCGGGAAAAACATTTTTTGTGAAGAAATTGATAGATCATAAAATGTTCCATCCCATGCCGACCAATATTATTTATTGCTACGGAAGTTATCAACCTCTTTTTAATTCCATGAAAAACGTAAATTTTGAAAAAGGATTACCATCTAACCTGCAGGCTCTTCAAAATGCTTCAAAATGCAAAAAATTATCATAGACGATTTAATGTCTGAATTAGCAAGTGATACTCGCTTAAGCAAACTTTTTACAAAAGGAAGTCATCACCGAAACCTTTCAGTCGTTTTTATAACACAAAATCTTTTTCACCAAGGCAAGGAGATGAGAAATATTCATTTAAATTCCCATTACCTTGTCCTATACAAAAATCCTAGAGATAAAAGTCAAATTATGCATTTAGCTAGACAAATGTTCCCCGGAAAAGTAAAGGCCTTTCAAGAAATTTTTCAGGATGCTACTTCAACTCCATTTAGCTACTTGTTGATTGATTTACGACCTGAAACAAGTGAAACGCTTCGCCTTCGTACAGGCATCTTTCCTGGGGATAAATACTATGTCTACCAGCCCCGATAGTTCATTTCAGTTTGAGACGTCGAATGGCTAACATGTCTTCTCCCATCGTGATCGATTTCGAAGGTTTTTCAATGGATGCCTCATTGCTACGTTTGTTAAAGAATTAGCCTTGTTTATTCTGTGCATGAAGGATATCACAGTTGCTGGTCATTTTTACCTCCTCAACCTTGGAAAACATTATCACGATCTCAGCAAAAGTGTTTTGCTTGGGTCACAAGAAATCGTCATCACATGAATTGGAGTGAGGGTGTATTACCTTATACTCATCTTCGTATTATTTTGCAATATTTGTCATCTATTTATTCTGTCATATACGTGAAAGGATTAGAAAAGAAATTATTTTTAGAAAATTTATTAGGTAGAGACATCATAAATCTAGACTGTCCTAAGATAGAGAATTTAAAAAAGAAAAGTTCTTTAACATGTTCGATTCATGCAAAAGGATTTAATTGCTGTGCTTTAACCAAAGCGGCTGCATTTGCTACCTATATAAAAGAAAGTGTGCAGGAAGAAGAGTTCATTTGTCATCAGCATGTCTCATCTGAAGGATGTGGATTATCTAAAACTATTAGGAAAAAGTCGAATAAAAGCAGCTGTACTGAAAAAGTGTCCGAATCATCTCATAAAATCAGTTTGTGAGTGTGTTTAAATCTTCTAAAAGGAAACGTACCCATCACCAAACGGGTCAAAAATCGACTCGCCCCTTTTAAAAGAACTTTAAGAAAACTAGCGGACAAAAAAGTACCTCTTTTTAAGAAAAGACGTCTTTTGGTTCAAAAAGGTGACGGTTTCCTATCTTTCCTGATTCCTGCAGCAGTCAGTGTCTTATCCTCCCTTATCCATGGAACACAGTAAGAAATTTGCGCTGGTACCCCTGGATCGTATGCAGCAATTTGAAGATGAACATTTGAGTGATTTAGATACCCAAATTCAAAACATCTTAAAAAAGAAAATGGACGATGAAGAAAAGTCTAAATTGTACATCCAGGTTCTGCAAAAGTATGTTACATTTCCTCATGTGAACACTTCCGAAGAACAACCGCCTGAACAACGTTCTGAGAAAGATATAGAAAAAGAAATTATGCAAACAGTTCCTGTGAAGCAGAAAAGAACGGCACAGAAAATAATAGATTTTCTAAAAGAGCATCAGATTTCCTGGACACAGAATAAAGAACTCATTCTGGATGATCATGTGTTTTCTGGCTCTGACATTGTTCAGTTGATAAACTTTCTGTTGAGAAATAGAACTCAAAAACCTTTTGCCTTTGAACAGTTTAAAAATGTACTGAATGTTAACAACTTTCCTCAAGACTTTGTGAAAAACAAACATTTAATGAATGTAAAAACTATGTATGCTAGACCTAAAAGAAACGCATCTTCCAAACTATGGCTGAAATTGTAATGATACGTGAATAAATGTAATGGCTGATCATTGGTGTTGTATTTCTTTCTAATTAAGTTAACATAATTTTTGAAAATAAAATATGACAATTATTTTCTAGGAAAAACTTACCTTTCATGAAATCCTTTCAAATAAGAAAAACACAATTTTATCATTCAAACTTCTGTTTATTTTTTTTTCTAAATAAGTTTTCTTTTATACACATACAAATGCATGATTCTGCATATATATATATATATATTTACATACAAAATTTCATTTTCAGATAAGGTTCTAACATAAACATAAAAAGTTCTTCTTCAATATACTAATGACCATACGGCAATGTGCTCAAGTCTTTTTGAATTACCCGTTTATCCAACACAATTCTGTACAGTTTTGTTTCCGGTTTATTCACCACCTTTCTTCTCTTCGCTTCTCGGGTGATTTTGGAGGGGTTGTGGAGAGAGATGATCTCACTTCGGTCGAGGCTGCAGACCAGACTTTTAATGGCTTCAAAATTCAGCAACTGAGAATTCCGGAAATTCAATGAAAATCCTCGGACTTTGCAGCAGGTTTTCCCAGTGGCCGTCTGGTATGCGTAGTTTTTCGGTCCTCCTGAAAAAATAAAACATCATGAGAAAAAAAGAGATAATAGAAAAACTTTCAATATTTTTGGTACATGTTAAATAAAGAAATTTTTTTAAAGGTCCTTACCAGAGACAAAGGTTTTGATGACATCACCCTCCAGTTCATCCGTAAATTCACCCAGGAAGTTGCCCAAGGGGGGATCATTGCGGCCATTCGAGGCATAGATGATGGAGTCTGTGTCGTGGTACAGGACATCTCTACCCAACTTCTCCATTTCACTATACAGCTTGAGACGAGCCCAAGCTGTTGTGAAGGTCGCTAGGAAAATGTTGGTAGAGGCATCCTGCGGCACAAACTCCTTCGCAGATTCCCAGGAAATGGCAGCCACCTCAGGCGTGGGAAGAAAGACATCTTTGATCTAAAAAATAGAAGAGTCATGAGATAACAGTTCAAAATAGTCATAAGTTAACAGTTTGAAACTCTTTGAGTTTACAGATGAATAAAATCGGTAAGGAAACTTACTTTTTTAGTAGAATCCGCCAACATCTTATTGAAGTCTGGCACCGTGTGGACATAGGTCAGTTGGGCTTTGTTCACGTTCATACCCCATCTGAGTGAAAAAAAGCTATCATAAATCACAACGAATTAAAAATATTTATAAAAATTAAGTACAAAAGAAATCATCTTACCTGCCCCAGAAACTGTTCAGGGCCAACTTGGCGACTTGTCGACGCCCAGGGTTTTTCGGATATTTTTTCCAGGCCTCCAACTTGACGCCCTCTCTTTCTTCATACTGGCGAATGTACTTCAGTCTGGCTTCTTCCGTCACACACTCCGAAGGCCATCCGCTACTTTCCTGCTTGATCTTCAGAAACAGATCAATGTATGATCTGAAACAGAGGAAGTAGACGATGCCTGGAAATGGTACACTTCGTAAATCTAGAAAATAAAAAATAAATGTCAGTTATAAAAAAATTTTAAAAGTAACCTCTGAAACTAAATAAAGATTAAAATAATCTTTGAGTACTTACATGTGTGATGCGGTAACCTTTCTTTTTCGCCAGTTTGACTTCCTTCCGTTACCCACGTTCCGACAAGAGCTCGCTCGTCGTCTGTGTGGGTACACGGAAGTCTGCAGTTGAAGAAGGGCGCAAGTCCGACACAGGGGGAACATCAGCTTCTTCCGGCACCGATAGGGCAGTACCGGAAGATACAGATTCCGTGGAGGAATCACTCGGCATTGGATAATTCCAAAATAATCTTCCACATCTCTAAAGCTTTCCGTGATGATTGTTGGATGTCCCACAGGGTAGACGCAATACTTTGTTCACCTGTGAATGAAAAACAAAAAAAGTCAGAAAAACACATCATAAAAATATACAGAAAATTTAGAAAAGTTTAAGTAAACATTTTTGAAAATAAAAAGTACGAACCCATGGATAGAGTGAAGTAAAATCCACATATTTTGCGTCTCCCTCGTGGAACAATTTGAGGGCATTGGTCCTTCCTCCAAAAAACGACTCGCGAGGATTGAGTCGATCCCTCAGATGGTGTTGATCCAGGAAAGCTTGGAGATCTGGATTTTCCTCCTTCTCTCTTTGAAATTCATGCTCCCACATTTCGATGACGTGGAAACCCTGGGTGCGAAGCTTTCTTGTCGTCTCTTCTGTCTTTTCTCTTAACGTTGCCATGGAAACCCCTTTCAGTGGATGTAATGATATCACCATCGTAACACGAACTACATCCCGTGAAAGAAACAGCCCTAAAATAATACAAATATATATTAAATAGTCTTTAAACATTATAAAATCATTAAAAAGAATCACATAGAAAAAGAATGGTTATATTTTCTTACCTGAAACTGATAGACGGTTTGTGTTTCTTGGCAGAATCCGTCTACCGAGATTCCGGCGACTCTGTGCTCTCCGGAACCGTTCAACGCATGTTGAATCTGTAGGCCTTCCGAAGCAGCAACAAAGTCCAACCATCGGATCGAATCAGGGCTGTAATTCGTGGAGTTGATGTAGCCGTGTGTAGGCACCATGGCAATCGTGTCGGGTTGAATGTGGCCACTCCGATACGTTGCCATACAGGCTGACGCGAATGGTCACGTATCTGAAAAGACAAAAATAAGAACGATTTAATGAACTGTAAATATGATTATTATTGTATAAGAAAATGAGAAAATGACTTACTGGAATGGATCCACATTCGCCACATCAAAAAAAAATGGGCTCGAAAAAAAAAAAAAAAAAAAAAAAAAAAAAAAAAAAAAAAAAAAAAAAAAAAAAATGTCCAAATATCTATTAAAAAAAAATGTTAAAAATACGAAATATAAAAAAAATAAAATAAAAATAAAACAAGAAGAAAAAAATATACCTGCAATAGGCCAGCATCTCATCTTGAAAGTTAAACACGCCCCCCTTGTGTGCTTCATGCCAGGACAGAAATGCTTGTCGGGCTGAAGTGCTCATGGTATCCGGGCTGTAGTACCGGGGCTCAGGCAGCGGTCCGACATAATTTTGGTTTTCTCGCGAGTTGAAAAGATGGGGAAAGTATCCCTTTTTCAGCTCGCTGAGACCGAAGCATCCCGGCAGTTTGGCCAACGCCATCGGTAGAAAATTTAACGAGTCTATGACCCGAATGTTCAGACTAGGGTGTCTTACACTCATGATCATAGACCCGTTAGGGATCACCTCCGGCGCTGTGCCTTGCTCCAGGAGCCAGGCCATCACGAACTGACCGTCGAACCTGTAAGTAAAAAAAATTATGAATAATATTGAAAAAAAACAGCCATGAAAACTAAAGCATGCAAACTATGGTATTTTTAACTTACCCTTTCATGTTATGAGCCACGGCGGTGAAGCCCTTGTGCTGTGTGGTAAACAGCCAGGCGCAGAAGTTTTGGCAAGCCGCATAGCCCGAAAACACTCTCTCTGTGCCGTCGGCATACTGAGCCACCGCGAAATTTACGAGATGCTCCCCCGAAGACTGGTCCGTTTCAAAGTCAAAAAAATGATGACTTGTCCTCGGACTTCTTCGGGGCAACACGTCGCAAATAACAACGGTGCTCAGCAGCCACGACAAACTGGCCGCAAGACGGACATTTTGGTGGTGCCACACCTATGCAGATCTTTAGGGCAATTACGGCGTCTCCGAATCACTTGGCAGCATTCCCTGCACTGGTATACCTGTAACGACAATTAATTTTTTTTAAACATAACCATTTTGAGAAAATTATATGATAAATAACTTTGGTCATTAAGATATATTTTCAAAAAACACTTACCCTGTCGCAAAGTGAAAACTCTTGGTTTCCAGTAAGGGCTTTGTGTGCTTCAAAGCAGGCATCGGATCGGCAGAGACGGTCGCAATCCTGACATCGTTGGGGCTGGCCTGGAAAGCAGTCGGTCCTCAGACATATGGGACAGGCATTGGCACATCGATGTTCTTCCGGGTGTTCATAGGGCTTTTCACAGGCTGTGCAATAATGGTCGCTACCGAAAAAATCCTTTCAGGGATTTGATGACATCATAATGCCATCGTGAAGCCACAAATTGATCCGTTGTGCTCCTCTCTTTCCCTTTATAGACCACCTAAAACATAGACAAAAAATTTTTCTCTTAAATTCCAAAATAAAACCCTTTAGAAATCAGTTTTTAAATTTAATTACATACGTAAAGCGATCTAAAAAATTCCCTGTGTATTTATAATATCGAAACGAATTACATAAAATTAATCTAAAAATTTCACCATGCGTTTTTACAAGTCATATTTTTAACATCTAAATAAAGTGTGCATTCTATGCGAACATGCATAAACATAAAGTCTAAAAATCTAAAGTAATTTAAAAATAAAGATTCACATATTTTAAACTTCTAAATGAAAAACTTTTCTCTAAAAATAAATTCCAGAATCGAACAATTTAGAAAAAGAATACATTCAGTTTTGAACATTATATTTTTAATGCAGAACCGAATTTAAAGTATTCTAAAATGCTAAAGTTCTCTAAAAATAAAAATTCACCATGCGTTCGGTT